AGAGATTCTGTATTATCAGCTAAAATCCATCCACCTATCATTTTAGATGATAATAAAACCCATGTCTTAGGTCTGATTGACTTCGTGACCTTCAACACTATTCCCAATATAGATGAGAAAAATAACAGATTCTATGTCGGCAAACACACATTGATTATTCCTGAAGGTTCCTATGAAATTGAAGACATTGAACGGAATATTATGACGCAATTGGATGAATTGCATCAAAAAGATAAAGAGAAGGAGGGAAAAAAAGCTCAAATTTCAAATACTATTGTGAAAGAGGAGGAGAAAACTGCCGAGATTCAGCTCAAATTGAATGCTAATCGTAATACTCTAAGGTATGAGATAACATGCAACAAACTCATACACTTTGATAAACCTGACTCGATAGCAACTCTGTTAGGTTTCAGTAAGAGGAAATTGGAAGCTAATAAAAAACATATATCAGATTTTCCAATTAATATTTCCAAGGTGAATTCAGTGTGTGTTGAATGTAATTTAACAACGAATTCGTATAATAATAATTCTTCCGTTCACACATTGCACATGTTTTATCCATCAGTGCCTAGTGGATTTCGAATAGTTGAGAAAGTGTCAAATGTCATTTATCTACCAATCAGTTCCAATTACATTGATGAAATAATTCTCAGAATAGTCGATCAAACTGGAACCTTAATTAATTTCCAAAAGGAAGTCATAACAGTCAGGTTGCATTTGAAAGAGATCTAGTGAATATGGTGTTTCGCTATAATATTCCAATGTCATCATCAACAACAACAACAACAACAACAACAACAATGGGTCAGGAGACGCGTTCTTCATCAATCAAAAGTATCAGTCCGAAAGGTGACATCAAACAGTTAACACCTGAAAATCAGCAGTTCCTCATTTCACTCGGTTTCAAATTATTATTATAAAAAACGAAGACTTTTCACGAATTTTGGTATAACCTAAAATTGGACATCAACGCTGGTCTTAGAAGAATCTTCATTCTCCTGAGGTGTTCCTGCGGAAGAAAAAGTGAAACACAACAAACATGAGTTTCAATATTTTGAATATTGGTGAACATGTGATGATGGACAATGCGATAACGAATTGTGAAATGCACTCTCATCCGCCATATGCCAATACAAGCCTAAATAAGTCATTCGAGATACGTGTTCCGATTCAAACGCAGGATATTTACACATTACCATCACAAAGTTACATTTATCTAGAAGGTAGAATTACTGACAGTGAAGATAAAGTGAGTGCTACACTGAACTTTATCAACAATGGTATTGCTTTTCTATTTGATGAAATCCGATATGAAATTGGTGGGTCCGTTGTGGATCGAGTTCGTAATCCTGGAATCACATCAGCTATGAAGGGCTACATTTCTTATACAAATAATGAATGCAATAGATATATAAATGCTGGTTGGAATCATCTTGGTCATCCGGAAATTGTTGATCTTCAGGGGAACTTTAGCGTTTGTCTACCACTCAAACATCTATTGGGATTTTGTGAGGATTTCAAGAAAATTCTGGTGAATATTCGGCAAGAACTTGTTCTCATCAGGAGTAGCAATGATATTAATCCTACGATATCCTCGAAGGCAGGAGAAAAACCGAAAATTGAATTAACCAAAGTTCTATGGAAAATTCACCATATCCAGGTTTCAGATGTGGAAAAATTACGGTTAATCAAGTATATTGAAAAGGGAAGAGATTTGGAGATAGCCTTCAGGTCATGGGAACATCATGAATATCCTCTTTTACAGTCAACTATGCGCCACTCCTGGAACGTCAAAGCATCCAGCCAAATGGAAAAGCCAAGATTTGTTATTGTCGGTTTCCAAACGAACAGAAAAAATGACATTCAAAAAAATATGAGTCAATTCGATCACTGTAATCTCACCAATATGAAACTTTACCTGAACTCTGAAGTGTACCCCTATGACAATTTGAATCTCAATTTCAATAAATATCAGTTTTCTGTTATATATGAAATGTATGCACGATTTCAGGAGTCATATTACTATAAAAATTCTGGTGAACCGTGTCTAACATTATCAAAATTCCATGATATAGCACCATTAATTGTAATAGATTGTAGTAGACAAAACGAATCTCTTAAGACAGGTAGTGTGGACATTCGCCTCGAATTTGAAACAAATCAAAACATTCCTGCAAACACCTCTGCCTACTGTATAATATTACATGACCGTTTAGTAAGGTATAACCCCCTCACTAATGTAATAAAAATATTGTAGTATCATATCTTCCTAATTCATGATCAACAAATAAATTGTACACCTATATTCCACTGTTTCGATTTCATTCAATAAACCCAAACCGATAATAGCTATCCTGATAGCATGTACCCATCAATAAAACACAAGAAATAAAACATATTACGAGGTACTCACCAATAAGTTACCACAACACAAACAATTCACAGCAGGTATACCTGATATTGAGGTATAACATAATCACAGCTTTTATACTTTCCTGGAACTGAAAGTTCAGCAAAATTTCTCCAAAATGGTCCTTAATGGCACAAATAACTTGTCAGCTGAATTTTGAATAACATTCAATCGAACTGCAGAAAAAAATATATGAATAACAAGGTCTCATATCATTCAAAATAAAAACATGATAATCCTGACCTCTGGGTCAGCTTGCGATATCCAATTGATATTTCAAACATGTATATAGGGTGATTGAGGTCTGTGGAACTAGAATTTGGAACATATAATTGTGAATCAGTAAAGTAGGTGAAACAGGTGAAATGTACCTATAGGTGACAGGTGACAAAGTGGATCTTCGGTGACAACAGCTTCTGGTCATTGTCGATGACACTTGTGCACCTGGAAAAGTCTGCACAAACCACAAATAGGCAAGGTGAATCGCAAATTCATTCGGTGACACAGGTGAGACAGGTGAAAATACATGTGACAAGGTGAATCTCCGGTGACAACACCTTCTGGTCATTGTCGACGACACTTGTGCACCTGGAAAAGTCTGCACAAACCACAACTAGACCCCCCCTATTGTCTGCAAGAGCTCGAGAACTGGATGGACTGGGCCCAGGTACGCGGTAGCTTATCTACTGGTTTCCTAGCCTCGGCTACGCCTAGGCTATGAAATGCCAGCCGCGGCATTAAATCTTGCAGTTTTCTGCCCAGTAAAACAAATAACTACTTTAATGTTAGATTTTCTAGTCCAATTAGGTATAATAGGTAGTAAAGGTAGATTTGTGAACCGTATTCGAAGTAATTTCAATTGAAAATGATGAATTAGTAGCTAATGCTGGTATGAAGTAAGTTGAAATTGTGGAAAACCATTACCTATTCATTGAAAACCAAAGACAAAAACATTATATTATATTGAAGCTCGAGTTCTCAATTGAACAAAAAATGAGATGGTTTTTGATTCACACTGAATTACCTACCGACATAAAATTGGGAATAATCGCACGAAATAATTATTTTTTTATCTAGTGCGTGAAATGCTACTTTGGTGATCGAGAACTGATTCTTTTAACGAAGCGCAGCCGAGTTGAAAAAATAGTCGAGATGACCAAAGTATTTCGCGCACAAGTTGCAAACAATATTTTTCTACGAACATCAAAAATCATAGTTCTGATTTAGTAATATGCTTAGCTTAATATAAAAAATAGTGTTGAACTGGCTTTGAAGGCCTTAATTATTGTTAAACATTCAGAAAAAAAATATTTCTTGGATGTTTGCTCGATTGAGAACATGAAAGTACAAATACAACAATCTCATATAGTATATTTACTTCGCACACTGCTTCGTACATGATGTCGTGGTAACTTAAGAAACTGAAAAAAGTGTCACTTCGCAAATTGTTATCAATGCGCGAAGAATGTCATTGTTGTAGATTGTTTTATTGAAATTGAATTAGTTTGATATACATACCTTGCATATAATTTGGAATTGAAAAAGGAGGCGTTGAGTTGTAAATTTATTACAGATTGGTGACAAATATCTATCACACTCTGCCTGGAACAGTCTGTATGTCGACTACTGATTCGAGATCGTCGCTCATCCTGATCTAGAATCTCAGCTTCACGATAGGCTTTTTCTAATTCGATTAATTTCAATTTCTCTTGCAAGGCTTCATTCAACAAAACCTGCTTGGCTTTTTCGGCTTCCAACGTAACTTTCATACGTTGAAGATCGACACTTGCCTTAGAAGTATTTGAACACTTAGTACGTGTAGAATGTCTAGATGATGTATTCGTCCTATTTGGAATAGAATGTCGGGAAACAGATGAGCTGTTGTCGCCCATGACTTGAGCTTCGGAGATGATTCTACCATCAGGGATGTCACCTTCTGGTTTTTTGGCATTGTCATCCATATTATGTCTAGGTTCTCCAAAGTTCTTGGGCCACAAATAGTTCTCGTCAAGATTTCTATTTATTCCAGCGGTTTCTCTTTTCCTGGAGGAGTCGGTCATAAGTCAACTCTTGCCGATTCGTCGAAACTGCTGTCCACAGTGCTAATTCGTCTTTTGAACGCGAAGGACCAAATGTAATAGACTCAGTATTTCTATTACTTCCAAAAATAAATGATTTTCCAAATTTTCTGACTTTTATATCTTTATTTATTTTATGTCACTTTTTTAACAACTCAACGCCTCCTTTTTCAATTCCAAATTATATACAAGGTATATCAAACTAATTCAATAAAACAATCTACAACAGTCATATTTTAAAGTTTGTAGAAAAATGGAATCATAAATAGTCTGGCTCGTGAAAGATGACCGGAAGAAATAATGTGAGCTACTTATTTGAGCCCAGAGCACAATATAAATGATCATCAACTCAAAGTCAATTTAAAAAAGAAATCCCAAGCGCTCGCTAGAAATTGTGGTATCAGTTCAAACGTGCAGTCAGTCATATATCTTTGGCGAGTCGAACTATATACCTCAGTCCTCAATGCTCTTATAAGAGATCAACAAAAAAATTATGTGAAAACAAGTTTTACCTCACAGCACTGAAATCTGCTCTTTCGATATATTTGATATATGGTTTCAATGCCATTTCCTTGTATGAATGAAGATAGTGAAGCAGATCCTTTTTGAAACCAGTCCTAGACTCCCCGTCTGTATTCACACTAGAATCAGGTAACTTGGGACAAAGAGGGCTCAACCAGATTCTGAGAAAAATATTAAGATAAATAATAAGATAATTTTAGTACAATTCATCATAAATACGAAAAAGGTCGAAGTCATTTCCACAATGTTCGGAAATGAACAACAATGGAAGATGACGGGAGAAAAACAACTACTTTTCTGGCTAATGCCACACAGAACATTGAATTACATCCTTCCGAAATCTAAGCATCGATACGTATGAACGAATACTAATGCAAGTGTTATTTCTTCCCCTAATTCCGATTGATTTCGATTTATCCATGTTTAGGCAACGACACCTACAGACCGATTTCGCTTCTTTGCTCTTATTTGTGTAGAATAGTCTCCAGCCAGCATTCCGAAACCGCAGGCTAAGCATAATCTGGCCCAAACAAAATAGAATCAGCAATATTTGTAGTCGCAGAAATTTTTCTTGTCCATCACTCTGCGATTTACAGAAGCAAACACATCTATGACATGACATCTCTGAGATGTCGCAATGACTCACCACTGCGATATTACGAATGTTTCATCGTTGCGATGAACAAAAGCAAACACATCTGCGACATGACCTCGGATATGTCGCGATGATGCAACACAGCGATATTACGAATGTTCCATCGCTGCGATGTATAGAAGCACACACATCTGAGATATAACATCTCTAAAGATATCATAATGTGGCAAAACACTGCGATATCACGAATGATGCATTACTACGATGTACAGAAGTCAACTCATCTGCGAGAATTTTTGAAAAATTTGTTATTCAGATTCTTGTTCGGTGAAAAAAATACATGAATATACGTTTCTCAACAAAGTGAAGCTAAATTCGAAAACATTCATCACGTTTCTATCAAACTATTTTTGCTTACATCTCGCCGACACACACTGCATAATTTTTGATACAAATACGAGTAACTGACCTCATTCTGATGGAGATGCGTATGTACTAAGGACATGATATATAGCGATAGCGCCGCATAATCAATATTAGATGTCATCATGTTTTTGTTCATATCATTATAGCAATAGCACACCGCCCAACCATCACAAATTACATACCGCAGCTACATTGTGAATGATATATTGCTGTTGTATCGCAGAGAACTAATCACAGCGGCGTCGCGCATGGATGAAACTTGAATGGGACAAAGTGAAATCCATCTAACATTAGAGCGACGTCTATGCGACATAGAATGCGATATCGTAAGGCACAATTGTTCCATCGCTGCGATATATCTGTGATGTAACTGTGTTTGCTGGGTTTGAGCTTTTTTATATTAATTTCATTCCACTTCAAGCATAGTGGTTATTTCGTAGTTACAATTCATAATACTCCACCTAACCCCCGAAAATTCATCATATCATTGTTTTGAACATTTTTGATCTTCTTCAGTTGTAGGACTTCATTTCGGATGAACTGATAGTTAGTTTTGGTCTATTTGTTTTAGGAAATGAATATAGGAAGAGAATTCCACCATAATAGGCTTTATGATTATTTGAAAGGACATGATCTACTCACCCTTGATTGTAACAGTTCCAATCTTCATTATATAGATTAACCGAAGAAACGGAAACTCTCAATGAGTCATCCTTGTACACATAGATTCCAATTTTCCTGAAAAAATACAAGGTTCAACATAGGTCTCCATATCATGTGCGTTTCTCAAATAAGACATCCCTGGGGATATTTTGGAACGCACTTGAAGGAATAATGATGCAGCTATTCCATCACTACGCCCCAATCAGAGATAAACCATATGGATGATCACTTCAAATGAAATCACAGACTTATCTCTGTTTTGTGAAAAACTTAATGAACTTCTAAACCGTAGAACAATGATCGTCGCCCTTTCAACAAAATGTCAATATACGTGAAGGCTATGTCGGCTTGAATAATAATTATTTATACACCAAGGTGGTAACAATAAAGAAATCAGTACTACCCAGGGACCAAGATTATATATACAAGTTCCCGCCCGTGTGATATTATTCGTCACTACCAAGGTGTATATTTTCTTTTACCACCAGCAGTATATTTCAATCACTATAGTTCTTCTTTCCAATTCTGATTACAATCGAGTACCCATGAGCATTACAGCATATTATGACAACTCATTATTGACAAATATACCTACCTACTAGATTCGAGTGCCATTCCTGCGAATCTCGCATCAAAAGGGTTGATTATAACAGAGGTGGCTATGTCTTCATTGACTAGTGGTTCATAGAATGACGCAAACTACTTTGGCAGACAACACACTTAACGCCTTTAAAAGGAGTGAATAATGGTGTAATAATATAAAAAAATTGTGAAATCATGAACATCTTACGGGGGTTGATAGAGAGAAACTACACTCACGAATGATGCAGTCCATAATCGTCCCGCATTGGAACTGATCTGAAAATAACATTATCAGGCACCTCGAGGTCATCATCGGAGTCTTCATCCTTTTCATGAGAGTCGTCTGTTGACTTTTCTTCTTCTTCTACGTCACCAGGCACATTACCTCTATCATACAGAACAGTTAACGGCAATGAACTGAAAGGGATAGAAGATGCAGTTTCATGAAGACATACTAAATTTTGAAAATATTTGCAGAGGTATTTAATAAATACTGCAAAACTACAAAATGGCATACACTTTTTTCCAATTTCCACTCCAGCGACAGCGACTGTCAACCTTGTGTTTTCAAAGGCTACATAGTTTGCCTCTTATACTTTTTTTTAATACAATGATGTATAAATAGAAGTTGACCCACGCGCGAAATTATTTGAAAAACATTATAATGCTCTGCTAATAAGGAATGAATATTTTCATCATATTTTCATCGAGTCATTGATCGTTGAGTTAATCTTTGATTGGTGAAAAAAAATGATTCATTATGAACAAATCGCACGTTGAGAACAATACTGTGACAACTTATTTTTGAGTTAAAACCACCGTCGGATAGCAAAATTCGAGCTGTACACACTTCTAGAATATCGTGACATCTCTAGGTCCAATAGCTGCTGCGTGATATCGCTGGTCACGTTGTTGCAATAGATGAGAAGTAGGTACTATAGCCGAGCAAGAACGTAATTTTTTGCGTTGTCACCTAAACTTCGCAGAATACGCCTCGTATTCTGACTTTGAGGAAATTATGATAAATAATGTGACAAGTCATCAAGTCCTTATTGATTATATAATCACAATTTACAATTTTTTGAGTTGTCACGTTATTACATTTTCAACATTGAATGATATAATATATTAAATATTAAATGCAACACATTTTTGAGTTGTAATGTTAACAATGTGAAATATTTCGATTTGTCAAATTATTGCATGCGTTCCACCTGATGAAATGGAGTAGGTAATACGGGCTCTTGCAGAAAGATTGAAATAATAGCAACAAGAAGATAGCCCCTTGAAATAAAAAGAAGAAATACAAAACAAGAATGAGACTTTCGAATGTATGTGATTCACATATTCCTATTTGCATGAAATATCAAGCCCCGACTTATGTTTAAATTCCAATTTGGGAAAATATGTTATATTCCCTTCGGATTGAACATTTGGAAAAATGTGTTTTTGGAAGAATTCCTAAGAATAGATTTAAATTTAAATTTCATTCATTATAGGTATTTCTTTCTTTCAGAAAATTTACCTACCTATACCTTATTTGTGCCTATAGTCACTTCTCTTCCCAAACATGGCATTTCAACTTTATGCGAATTTTCAATGAAACTTATTGCCATTCAACTCAAAATTTTTCCTTTGCAAATACCCGTTTGTTTCTATTCAGAAACTAAGGAAAATAGAAACAATTTTCTAAGTCTATTTTCTCAAAACGAAGAATTTTGAATTACTTATCACAATATTGTTCTCAACGTGCCTATAGGTATGGAAGAGGAGTCAAGTTCAATACAACTGTATTATATGGTTCACACTGTACAAACTTATTGCCATTCAACTCAAAATTTTTCCTTTGCAAATACCCGTTTGTTTCTATTCAGAAACTAAGGAAAATAGAAACAATTTTCTAAGTCTATTTTCTCAAAACGAAGAATTTTGAATTACTTATCACAATATTGTTCTCAACGTGCCTATAGGTATGGAAGAGGAGTCAAGTTCAATACAACTGTATTATATGGTTCACACTGTACACTCGTCTTCAGTGATCATGTCGCACATGGACGGTGTCAGCTCCCTTGATCACCGCTGCAATGCAATACCGTCCAACCGCGACATGTTTGTTGAAGACTAGTGTACCAATACGATCGAAGTTTCTGATTTATTCGAAATAACGAACCTTTGGCCTCTTGCTCTGAACTGTTCCAACAACCAACGAACCTCTAAGAGAAAAGTTAGCTGAAGTGATGATTTCAGTTCCCCTAAACTAGGACACAACAAATCTGGAAAAAAGTCATAATCAGTTATCAAAACATTTAGTCATTCTATTCTATTTTACAACGAATCGTCTCACAATTTCACCCAAGAGTAAGTTAAAGTAACCCTGGATAAAACGCACCATATAGAATTTGAATATGCAGCTGGATTAAAAACTTGAAAATTTGTGGAACAGTTAGCTGGGAGTACAGGCTAACTCTCCAGGCAGCAAGCTGACGTCATTTAGACGACTTTTTTGTTAATTCCTTGTCCGCGACGTCATATTAGGAAAAACTACGTGATTTATTACGTCATTTCTTCATCATATTTATCATTGTCACAACGTTACATTGACGACATTTTTGCGTCATTATGAAATTCGACCCCATGGGTATATACCAGGATATTGAATTTGTACTTAGACGTGACGTATAGATATGTTAATATCATTATCTTTCTTATCTTTCTCTGTTTTGAAATCAGACAAGCTCGACCTCGAGCACTGCAGAACACATCACTTCATCAATATACAGGGTGTAAATTTGAAAACTTTCAATGAGAATATCTCGCGAAATAAAAAAGTTAGAAAAACGCCGCTTGGCAAAAATGCTAAAGAGTTAAGGGGAACTAGAACCACCATATTTCAGTGAAGGGATGATTCACCCTGTCAGCGCAACACACCCCAACTTGCCAATGTCAAATGGCATCACCTCTTTTGTAATACCTAAAATGAACGGTCTCAGTCAGTAGTATCCACCTGTACAAGACTTTTTTACCACCCACTACAGGGTGTACGAAAAACATTAATTCGAGGGTCTAAATTTGAAAACGTTCAATGCGAATATCTCGCTAAATAAAACAGTTAGGAAAACGCCGTTTGGCACAAATGCTACAGAGTTAGGAGGAACTAGAACCACCATACTTCAGTAAAGGGATGAGTCACCCCGTCGGCGCGACACACTCCATCCTTGAAATGTCAAATGGCACTACCTCTTTTGTGATACCTCAAATGAACGGTCTCAGTCAGTAGTATTCACCTGTACAAGACTTATTTTCCTCCCACTACAGGGTGAACGGAAAACATAAAGTCGAATAAAATAAAATGCAAAATGCCAATATATTCCAAGAGATGTGTTCCAAAATGTTAGAATGGCATTTGAACATCGATTATACTATTGCATACAACAGAATGGAATGCATTTTGACATCTGATCAAATAAAATATCCTTTTAACACAATTCATTTTATTTTATTTGACTTTATATTTTTCGTACACCCTGTAGTGGGTGGAAAAAAAGTCTTGTACAGGTGAATACTACTGACTGAGACTGTTCATTTGAGACATCACAAAAAGGTAGTGCCATTTGACATTTGAAAGTTGGGGTGTGTCGCGCCGACGGGGTGACTCATCCCTTGACCAAAATATGATGGTTCTAGTTCCCCTTAACTCTTCAGCATTTTTGCCAAACGGCGTTTTTCTAACTTTTTTCTTTCGCGAGATATTCGCATTGGAAGTTTTCAAATTTACACCCTGTATGATGATGTTATACCCAGCAAAATTCGAGTTTATATTTATACTTTTTTTCAACGATACCTGACGATACCTACAATTAGCGATTTTGAAATGATAATACCTAGACATTTGTTGTGATCTGAATAGGTACATACGTATAGGACCCTGTTTATATATGTATGTATAATTGTTTGATGTAGAAATTATAACTTATATTTTGTACACGAGGCATAATACTATCAACTTCTTGATCTTTCACTTTCGAAAAATTGTATGCCAATGAATTTCTTAGTGAGAATGTGACATGCATTTCACCGATTGGAGATAATTAACCTTATTTATATTCCACACTTACTCATTGGATAAGTAAAGCTATTTTTCTCTGATTTTGCTATCATTTACGGGCCTTACCTACTACACTATTCTGTCATCATATAGGAATTATAAATACCGGTGCTTGAAGTCATCACTTGTAAACTGCCAGATAGACCTGTCTCATTTTTGAATTACAGTGATTGTTTTGATATTGAAGGGGATTTCTCTCATTCTATCATTATGAAAACATCATCCTTTAGGTAGTTTAGGTCAATGAGACGTCGAAGATGACGAAAAAGAAATCGTCAAAATGACATCCAAATTACGTTTAATTAAGATGAACCGTTCGTCGAATTGACGTCAACTATAGTGGTCGAATTGACGTCTCCTGAACGTCGAATTCTCGTCACTCGAATGACCCCATTGAGGTCGAAATAACGTTACAAATTGATGTATTTGAGCTGTGACAGGAGCACGTCATCCTACCGTCAGTATGACGTCATTCATAAGGTAGAATAGACGTCCAGAGTGACGAAAAATTTTCAGTTTAGTTACTTGAGCATTCCCAATATTCCCAATATACGTAACTCAAGCCCAGTGACTATAATAATAACAATGATAATAATGGAAGCTTATTTTTTCATTGAAGGTCGATGGCTGACCTCAGTGTAAAAGCAATGTTACATTCGTCTCCGTGTATACGGTGGTGTTATACATGGTAACGAATTTTGAGGCGGGATCAAATCTGTCGCATCTGGGAATTTGTTTCAGTTTTCAGAGAATATACTATATACGCATATTCTGATGATACGTTTCTTGATGATTTTAATTGAATAACTCGATATAGGTTTGAATAAGCTTCAGGGTACTCTCAAGTGTCTTGCGAGGTGTCTCAGCATCGAATTAAATGGGGTTATTCACACTAGTCGAATTTACGACACATATTATGATAATTCAGAGTATAAATAGTATTTGATGCAATTATCCGTTATTTAAAATCATCGCAAATATATTTTTTCAATAATTAAGTTCGGCGACTTCGAAAAAGGTTCGATGTCGCCATGACCTAAATTGTAGTAATAACCTTATGAGTTTCAATATGACCAATGCCAATAATTCGACCTGGTCCCTAATAATCACTTATTGAATTAATACTTATATACTTGCAAGATGCTTCAGTACTATAGTATTCCTGATGATGATCAAGATTTTATTAAATACCGAATTATTGTGTGGCACGGGCAACAGTGTTATGAAAATAGATTCCCAGAAATACAGAAAAAGAAGAAGAAGACAAACTACATTGAACATTGTCAACCTAACTTCCCGACGTCAAAGATAACCCTCATATTTTCTGATTCTTCAGTTGTGTGTTGATTCTCTGTTTCCTGCAGTCAGTATTCAATCCAGAAAATTCATTCCATGTTCTGATTGAGATAAAAATCAGAAATAATCTTACACTTGTCAATCAAAAATTTGAGAATTGCTACGTAAGTTGAATCTTATATGGTGTTCTCGGATGATTACACGTTAAAGATTGGTAAATGCAGGAGAAACTCGACTGATTTAGACTTGCAATATCATTTTTGAGTGAAATTTCTTTGTAAGAATCAATTATGTGGCTTGTTGATTTTTTCTAATTGAAAAAGTGTACCATCTGTGTTCCTGCTCAGCGAATATAAAATACCCCTTGACTTGAAGGAGCCAGTTGTACTTTATATCGACGCTATCTGAAACTGCTAGTCTCCTTCAACCATTCAACCGTAATGTGTGTAAAACTGTTGGTTCAAAATACGAAAGTTGTTGCCGTTTTTTGGCTATAGGACTAAAAATAGTGATGTGATAGTGTTTATACAGTGTGTCCCAAATTCGATCCTCACCATTGGGATCTCAGTAACTATTAGAGATAGAGAAACGGTTAAATCAGCAAAGTTGTAGCAAATTCAATGTTGAATCAGACTCTGTCGAGGAATCCGGGCTACCTCTAGTCATTCTTGAGTTATTTGAGAAAAACTGAAATCTTGTATTTTTGTTGTTCTCGAATATCTCAGAAACTATCGATTTCATGAAAAAATGTTTTCAACATTCTCATAGCACTTTTTGATTCTCTTTTCAATGGTTTCATTAGTTTTCCATCAAAATGTCAAACTTCTGAGATATCACCTACAACTTCAATTTTTATCGAGGACGCTATATTGGATTTTTACAGTTTTGAAATCAACATAAAATTCCCTTTCTAGTGATGTATCACACTCACAGTTCTATTCTATTTAGGGTACAGATTTCCAATTTTTGTTATTATGTCCATGGACATACTGCAGTAGTCTATGCGCTAAACTCTCTATAAACAATAACGATTATGTGTTCTGGCTATCATAGAAGTAGGCTTGGAGCCAAGTGACATTTCTGTACACGTCAAGAGAAAATACAAGTTAGTTATTTCGGAGCAAACAATGCCGTTCACAAATCTCGAGATATTTGATATGTACAATTGTTACATCAGAAATAATCGAAATAACGGAGAAACAGCTAGACAATGCTTCCATTTATATCCGGAAAAACATCATTCTATTTTTCTAACACTACGAAGAAATTTACAAGAGCATGGAAGCTGCATTGCACCTAGGCCTCGACCTAGGCCTAGGTATGGTTTGCGCTTGGATGAACAAGAAATTGCAAATATCGAAGGAATCATCAATCAAACCCCAACCATTTTAATTCGAGAGCGTAGTCGGAGAACAATTCACAGACATTTGCTGAATGATAAGTACCACCCTTTTAAACCAGTGATAGTACAAGGGTTAAGACCTGGTGAAAATTAACGTCGTCTCGAGTTTTGTCACTGGTAGGTCAACCAGTGTGAAAGAATCGAGAACTTTCCATTGAATATCTTTTGGACCGATGAAACGAGATTTCATTATAATGGTATTTACAATAAGCATAATCATCATCACTGGGCACAAAATAATCCGCATGTCATCAGAGAACCAAAGTGGCAGAACAAATTAGGTTCCAATGTTTGGTGTGGGATATTTGGTACCTTACTAAAATTTTTGTCCATTAATAACTGTTTCTCATTGTGTATTTTTTTCAGGCAGTAGACTACAAGGTCCAATAATCTACGATTATAACTTGCATGGTCCATGTTATTTAGAGCTATTGAGAAATGAGATACCTTTTGCTGAATATGAGTTAATGTGGTTTCAGCAAGATGGTGTCCCACCGCACAATACGCGTTTGGTTAGGGAATATCACGAAAATCAATTTGGTGCTAAGTTAATTACTACTCATGGACCTGTGAGATGACCTCCAAGGTCGCCTGATTGTACGCATCTCGATTTTTACCTGTGGGGTTACGCAAAAAATAAAATTTATGAAGAGCCAATTCGAGATATTGATGATCTACGAGATAGAGTGATGGACACATTCCAGAACATCAACATGCAGAGTTCATCTGAGAAAAGTAGTTCAATTGATTTTTTTTTTTTGGTATTTGTATTATTCATTATTATTTGTATTATTCACCTGCTAATTTTTTTTCTGCTATAATAATACACATTCAATTCCATGCAAAGAGTTATGCAAGAACATAGAACACAAAATTCATAATCTCTGGTAAAAGTCATGGTGGAGTGAAGAAGTAACTGATAATACAACATAATAAAATGTTCGTGGAGATAACTTTGAGTATTATTTATTAGTTACAGAATTCATAGCCTACTGGACATAATAACAAAAATTGGAAATCAGTACCCCAAATAGAATGAAACTGTGATTATGATACATCACTAGAAAAGAAATTTTATGTTCTGTCTGTAAAAATCCAATATAGCGTATAAGAAAAAATTGAAGTTGTAGGTGATATCTCAGAAATTTTACATTTTGAAGGAAAACTGATGAAACCATTGAAAAGAGAATCAAAAAGTGCTATAAGAATATTGAAGTTATTTTTTCATGAAATCAATAGTTTCCGAGATATTCGGGAAAAACAAAAATACAAGATTTCATTTTTTCTCAAATAACTCAAGAATGACTAAAGCTAGCCCGGATTTCTAGATAGATTCTGATTCAACAGTGAATTTGCTACAACTCTGCTGATTCAACCGTTTCTCCATATCTCATAGTTACTGAGATCCCAATGGTTAGGATATCAAATTTGGGACACACTGTATAAACCTTCATTCAACGAAACTATATTGCGCGAAAACATCATAATATCTCACCTATTTCAGTGCAATTATTGTGTATGGTTAGATGATGATTCATACATTCAGTAGATAAGATAAGGTACTAGGTATACTTATAGTCTATCCAAAGTCAATCATTGGAGAACCTCCAACGAAAAACATATGAAGCGTGCTGCCGGCTCATACGAAGTTTGAAGGAGGTTGGCTCGGAGGTTGGTCAGTTGACTTTGCAAAGACCATACAAAGACTTTACCCAATCATTATTTGAATCGGAAATCTGTAATCCGTGATTATTGGGAATAATATTCACCTGTGAAACTGATTGCATTTGGTTGTTTGAAAGTTTCCGGATTTGCAGGTATCGTATTGATGAATATATTGTATGGAGCTGCTTTTTCCAATTTTTCCAACATAGTACAGTTTCTCTGTTTCATTCCAATATTGGAACTTTGATCATGTTTTTCATGATCTTCTAAACCCATTGCGGCAAGTGTTTCTGCTATGGTTTCCATATTTTCCATTTAGAACTAACGTAGAGGTTACCTCGATTTCCAATTTTTTCCTATCTTCAAGGAACGGTTGAAAGAAGAGCAGTCCTAAAATTAAATCAAAGATATTTTGAAAAGTTCCACAAATCATAAGATTTCGACTAACGCCTCAAAAACAAGACACGCAAGACATATCCCAGACAGCACCAGATATTCCATGAATCTCCCTATCATATTCCTTTTGGAAAATTGGAATATATTCTAGGAATAATCTGAAATATTCCGGAATATCTGTGGAATATTCTCGTGACCTCAAGACTATCAGAGCAACGCCTTGACTACTAGGCCAGTAATCGAATTGAATAATGGGGTACATATCAATTTCTTGTGAGAGCGTTGTTCGAAATCGGATCATAAACACTTTTTGTTTCAAAATCCCCTTACATCTAATTGATGTTCGATACTCACATCTCTGAAGTAATGATTGGTATTTATGTGTTGAGAAACATAGGAATATTCATGGAATATTTCATGAATATACACCACAGAATATTCAGTTGAGAATATTTCATGAATATACCGCACAGAATATTCAGTTGAGAATATTTCATGAATATACCCCACAGAACATTCAGTTGGGAATATTTCATAAATATACAAGAGATAATATTCATTTGGGAATATTTCTGGAAAATTCATACCTGAATATTCCCTGAACAGATCCGACTACCCAGTTAACACAGATTGATCCCGAAGATGTAGGAGGGCATATCGCATTCATGCCACACATCACATCCGTGACTCGGAATGTGAGTCCCACTGAATTCACAATGACTGCTATTATGGACCCTTTTGGTCATTTTATGATTCACATTATGATGCCAAATGGAACTCATCGTACGTATCAAGCGGCTCCACATTCAACATCAAAATTGATTTATTCCGTTTGTTACATGAATAGACAAGAATGTGAGGTTCAAGTGAGTCTCTTGGTTGTTATGAAGCTTCAAAAAATCACCTACATTTTAAGTCTCAAATACAATAAAATTTGACGAATATTGCGAATGTTTTGTGAAATAAGAGTCCCCTGGCAATACCAATGATGTTTTCTTGTGATTCGCATTGCTACCTACAGTGAGACATGAATGTGACATCCCAGGGATGTTTGTGTTTACTGGGTATCCACTTTGGAATATTCCTTTTGGATGTTCCAGAAGCATGTATATATTCTAGGAATAATCGATGAATATTCGGAATATACTCCTCCTTTTAAGCATATTGAGAGAATATTCTAGGAATATCCATATAGTGCTGTCTGGGATTCCGATAACCGTAAAATGAACTGAATTTATTGATGATGCTATTCAGTTAGAAAAAAAGGAATGTTTCAGAGAATTCCATGAAGATTATTATTGTTTGTGAAGTTCTTACAATAATTACTATATCCTAGTGCCGATAGTCAATTCAAATAGCAAGAGGTTATTGTTGCCATTCAGGTGCAGTGTCATTCATGAAGTTGGCATCATATGGGAAAAACGTTCGATACCTGATAGTTTATTTCGGAATTCAACTCAAGTTTTGCTTTAAAAAAATATGAAAAATGGACTACTCGGTCGGGGTAACGTGGCTTTTGCTACATGTCATAAGTTATATTATTTGAAAATAGTCTTATTAGTTTAAATTTCAGAAAAGTTTACTATTCCAATTTTACGTGTGTCTCGAATTTGAACGTTCCTATTTTACAACTTTTAGTTTTTGATATTTTTTCAATTTCTACGAAAAATGTTAGCAAACCAAAACCGACGAAACTATTTCATTCTAGTATAGCTTTGTTCATTATGCTACTAACTTTCAATCCCTATAATTATCAACAAAAATATTCCACCGGAATTTCGGTCTGGCATTGATGGTTTCATTTTTTGTGGGTGTATTTGAAGATAATGAATCAAATTTAGCCTGATGATTTCACCGTAAATAGAACAGTTTTGTAGGCAACTTTAACCCCCCTCTGGCACTCACTTTCCACCCGCGCACTAGCCTGACAATTTCTTGACACACTTGGTACATTATCAACTTCAATATTTCGAAAACCCAGACTGATGCTAATGACGTAATTGAAATTTTTTGGCCCTAAAAAAATCAACCGGCGCTAAAGCCACCCCTGGCAGACTTTCATAATATGAGAATATCTTATTCTTACGTTGCTAGGAATCCTCTATAGAAATACTACACCTTTTCCAGATGTATTTCAGAAAGCGTCAATTCAATTTCAGAAAGCATCAATTGTATTTCAGAATAGTCAATTGTATTTCAGAAAGCGTCAATTGTATTTCAGAATAGTCAATTTAATTTCAGAAAGCGTCAATTGTATTTCAGAATAGTCAATTCAATTTCAGAAAGCATCAATTGTATTTCAGAATAGTCAATTTGATTTCAGAAAGGGTCAATTGTATTTCAGAATAGTCACTTGTATTTCAGAAAGCGTCAATTGTATTTCAGAATAGTCAATTGAATTTCAGAAAGCGTCATTTGTATTTCAGAAAATATCATTTGAATTTCAGAAAGCGTCAATTGAATTTCAGAAAGTATCAAGATCGATTAGTCAGTAGAAAGTGCACTCCATGTAAGAATGCATAGGATGTTCTGTGTGATGATTTCAATTTATTCACCCGAAATTTTTCGCTATGTACTTTTCAGGTATGTACATAATTATATACTGTTTGATGAACAGATTACAGAATTTCAGGTATAGAGGGGACCGTCAGAGATAAACTTATTTCTATTGCTATGAAAAAGTTCTGATTTTTACAAGCTTTTATTTAGTTTCACCTGTCCCGGTGTGTGTGTGAGTGTGTGTGTGTGTGTGTGCATATTTAGATCTATGGTGTGTGAGTCTAAAATCAACTCTAGCAAGTTAAATATGACACACTTCTAATCATTATGAGATTCCTGTCACAGAAAACACAATGGCGGCTCCAATATGGCGGACGAGTTTTGTGATTATGGTTCAATTATATTCAAAATTGGTATGTGGGGGATGTTCTTGTCAGACATTTCCACAAAATGCATAAAAAATACTAAAAAGTTAAAAATGAAAGGAAATTGAAAGAAACTTTTCGAAGACACGCTTTTATACATAAGACAATGATTTCTTTCATGTTTTATTTAGGTTATTCTGTGAGTAACAGATTCAAAAGATTGCCGCGGATACAAAATAGGAAATTTTGCGCGGTCAGATCTGTTACTCAAAGAAGAACCTAGATCAAACATGAAAATAAATTTGTTTTCGTTTTCAATGCTTTTGTATGGAATCTTGTCCTCAAATATTTTTTATATTTTGAAATTTTTTCATTTTATTTCAATTTAGGTACTGCTTTTGTCATCACCAATTTCTCGGAAATGTATCACACGTTGCTTCTAACGGGTATAGGGTGGACAAAAACGCAAAATTTGTTCATGCAAATTTAATGAAATGTTATATGAACTGTATTCACATGAAATCATAAAAGAAGAATTAACGTAGAAGTCCCTGATTCCATTCTCAATGTTTATAACTGTAATTCTATTTTAATTGTTCTCTAGGAATGCAGTAATGTATGACAATTCATTAAATATTCATAAACAGCCTCTGCATTTTTGCTCACTCTGAACAAATTTGAAGCAATATGTAATACATATTTGTAACCTTCGGAAAAACTGGATATCGAAAAAATGATGTTATTTTATTGAAAAAAAAACTGGTGATGACGCCATCACACGAAGTTAGTTTACCCTGTGTAGGTATGATTATTATTTTAAAAAACAGTGAATTAAAATCAAAAATCGTCCTCTTCCAGGAAATCCTAATTGTTTCTACACTCAGCTCATTGGTACAGAATGTGTGCGTCATTTTATACCGGGTGAGTCATTGAAATGGGAAAGTGAGATAACGCCTTTGCTGTTTGAGATATATGAACAAAAATTGTTGTGATGATCTAGGCTCATGAGAAGCATATTTCTAAATTACTTTGCGTACACAGGGTGACTCAAATATGCGTGGCGTATGAAAGTTATACTTTTTATTATAGGACACCCTGTATTTTATGACATTTTCGGATTCTCCTTTGTGAGCTGATTTCATCAATGAATCACACTTGGGTCTAGCAAGAATGATTACAGAGATATAGGGTGTGCAAAATCGAGATATTTCAGCTTTAGGATTTTTTTGGGTCGAAACTATTCATTATTGGTCAAAACGGCATACATGTCCCTATCTTAACTTTTGATTCACTATCTACTGATATTTAATTTGAACGAATACAGAGTAGTTCAAAATTCAGAATTATGAACCATGCCTACGCCCGCACTCACGGTTAACGCACTTAAAGTTCAGTGGTGCTTGGCGTCATGTTTGTCCAATCGGAAGTGACTGGCTGTTTGAATTATACTGTGAAATAGACTTCTTAATAACATTAACAAAATTAAGCTCTTTTGCTATGACGTAGATGTCATGATATTTTCACGTTTTTTATGATTTCTGGCAGGAGAACACCCAGTGGAAAGTGTCTGGCAATTGTATATTCTCTTTCATGATAGGGTCCGATTGAACATGAAAAGGTCAGCTTTTGTTGAAATGATGTTTTTGACAGTTTTTTTTTGTACTTTCAACACCCGGTATCTCTTGAAAGCCCACCCGGTACTGAAGATTTCTAACCTCCACCGAATAAGGTATTACTTTGGTATTACACACATAGAAAATATCAACCTTGTTGAAATGACGTCTGGCGGTCGCTGGCTTTCAGTCTATTGAGAACGATTTCTGACTTCTGAAATACAATTGATGCTTTCTGAAATTCAATTGACGCTTTCTGAAATTCAAATGATACTTTCTGAAATACAATTGACACTTTCTGAAATTGAATTGACTATTCTGAAATACAATTGATGCTTTCTGAAATTGAATTGACTATTCTGAAATACAATTGATGATTTCTGAAATTGAATTGACTATTCTGAAATACAATTGATGCTTTCTGAAATACAAGTGACTAATC